GTGCCTCCAAATCACATGATCTCCTCTTTGTCTGGGACAGCTTTTGATGTGCGTTCCCGATATTGGGTTTCTCTGCTTTTAATAATCTTATATTCCTTCCTCAATATAAATGTCATGAACATGCTGAATGCTAATCTTCCAAGATCAAATAGGGAGAAAGAGGTGGGCAGCATAGTCTGGTGACTTGAATTCCTGAAATTTCTGTTTGAAAACCTTGATTTTCACTTATGAAAGCCTCTGCTCAAGAAGCCTGTCTCCTCTATTTAAAGTGGAAACTGTCTGCTGCCTCACATTTCAGAATATTGTTAATTACAGAATAATTAGTCCTCTGCCTTAGGGACGGGAGACACAGGAGCTACTTAGTCCGTGTTTCTGGCTGAATCTGTGTCACGGGACACAGAAGCCCTGAGACCGATGGACGTTGGCCTTCATGGCCCCTCTCTGCTGCAGCTAGGTGACCCACAGCCCTGCTGGGCCTGAGACAAAGGATATTTCGGCGCTAAAACTGGGGCAGCCCCTGGCCAACTGGCCCATTTTCATGTTTGCTTGGGTACCAAGGGCCTTTTGGGGGAACTGGGTGATGCCTTGATAAGCACTGTTTCCCTGTTCACAGGCCCCTGACTTGTTTTCTGTGGCAGGCAAGTGCCTGGATTCTCACTGCTAAAGTATAAGAAGTGGTGCTCAGAATGCTAGGTGAGGACCCCAGGGGGCCTGGGATGAAGAATGCAGGCCACCTGGGTCTTCCCCGGACTGCAGTGTCTGACAAGAATCGGGACCCCTTCTTTGCCGTAGGGTGTGCAAAAGTGTGATCTTCCAGCGCCTGCGCACGCGTCATTTTAACACGCCTTTTCCTGTGTGCTGTTACCCCGCAGTACTCCAGAAACGCAGTGTGGTGGGAGGGGCTCTGGGGCCCAGCTGGCTTGGAGGGAGAGTGGGACAGCCCACGGTTTGGGGTTGGTTTAGGGGTACATCCCCAGGCGGTTTCAACTTAGCACTTGGTCTGAAGGGAAATTATAGAAGTTACTGAGCCACCCCATGTCTTTGGCACCAGGATGCCTGTTCCCTGTCGGGCATACTTGTGAATAATAGAATATCCTATGCTCTGTTTACTGCATTAGAAAATAGTGCATCTCTTTATAAAAACTGAATAGCAGTGTTGCCACTTTCTGGGCAGCTCCCATGGACCAGGTATCGCTGGTGTATTTATATATATGCTCATTCAGTGCTGGTGCCACTTCTGGAGGATTGGTGTTACTGAAAAATTGTAATGATTGCGTAGACTACATTTTCTGAGAATTGGTGTCAGTGCACTTCTCTAGTTAGAATTGATTAGCTATTTAAATCTCATAACACTTATGAAAAAGACGCTTGTGAAAAATGTTTTTAAAGCCAGGCATGGTGGTACATGCCTTTAACTCCAGCACTTTGGGAGGCTGAAGCAGGAGGATCATGAGTTCCACCGCAGCTGTGGGCAATTTAGTGAGACCCTGTCTCACAATAAAAAATAAAAGGGTCTGGGGTTGTAGCTCAGTGAGGAGGCTCTGAATTCAAGTCCCAGTGCAGAAAAAAAAAGAAAGAATAAATAATTATTATTAGTTTCCGTGCTGGGTCTGAACTGAGAGCCTCCAGCACAGGAAGCACATGCTTTACCACTGAATCCCGCCGGAGTCGGAACCCCAGCCCACATCTGGCGGAGAAGGGAAGAGAAGGCCTGACTCGGCTCAGGTGCGGCGGGGTACAAAACCACGCAGCTCCCTACCCAGCTCCGGGGAGGGCGCTGGGGACACGGGTTGTGGGAGGGTGGGGAATCTGGAGGAGCTATTTTATTTGTTTTATTTCGGTGGTAAAAAGGCGGAGCCCAGGCCGTGCGGGTGAGCAAAGAGCACAGGTCGGGAAGTCACGGACGCCTCCCTCACGGTGAGGCTCCCGCGTTACTTTGTCTCCCCAGGCAGCTGTGTCGGCTTTTGGAGCCATTCTCCGCCACGAACCTGCACGGTGGCTCCTGAAGGGGCGCCCCCGCCAGGCCGGGCCTCACCTGCGCGGCGGCAGCGCCTGCGTGACAGCGACCAGGCGCACTAGTCACGCGCTCCCCGAGGCCCAAGCCCAGAGGCTCCGTGTTTCAGCGGCCCGGGCTGCCCAGGATCACCTTGAGCTCCCGGTCCAGGGCGCCTTGCCCTGGACTAAGTGTCCAGGGCTCCTTGGCCTCCGCGGAAATGGACCTCAGGCGCGATTGTGTTGAGCTGGGAAATAAACCGCCTCGCTCCTCTCCGCATCCTTGCGCCTCCGCATCTCTAACCTCACGCTTCCGCGTTGCCGTGTGAGCTGCTGGCTGAGAACAAAAGCTCTATAAATTAAGAGGAGTATGAGCTTCACCCCAGCCTGCCGGGCCCCTCTGCTGGCCTGCCCAGGGCCTCCAGGCCTGCACCGAGGGGCTCCCAGCCACCCAGGGACTGATGGACTGCAGCTGCCCGGGACAGCAGCCCACGCCGCAGGAAAGGGCGTCTGCAACTGGTCTTGTGTCCCAGAGCACAGAGCAGGAGGGAGGCCCGCAGCAGCCTCCCGCTCCGGACTGTCTGCCCCGCAGCTCCCAGCGGGTGACTCCGGAAGGCGGCACCGAGGGAATGCTCTCCACTTTGTCCACTGTCAGTGCAAGAGTCAAAAAGGTGCATGAAGGAACCAGCAGTGGATGTGGTGCTCACACCTGTAATCCCAGGCCTGGGAGGCTGAGGCAGGAGGACCTGACTTCAAGGTAAGCCTGGACGACAAGGCGAGATCCTGCCTCAGAAAACAAACAGCTGCTTTGAGCTTGTTCTTCTAAAGGGAAAAGCTTTCAGCCGATATCCAAGAACGCGGGTCTTGGATAAACTAGAATAGGTGCATTCACGATTAAGGCTGGGCATAGTTGGTCTGCGCCCCCAGCCTGTGCTGTCTGTTGTCTAGTCAATGGAACAACAAAGGAAAAATATAACCAAAGTCGAACATGATTGTTTTCAGAGCCAGCTTCTAAAACTTGATTTTTTTAAAGGAGAATAAAGGGGCTAAAATGTTATTTTTACATGCTTATATGTGTACTACATTATTAAGGATGTAATGACTACCCACCTCCACCCTGTGCCTTTTAGTTTCTGTTTTCCTGTTGCCGGGACAAAATACCCGACACCTGCAGTTTACAGGAGAGGTCTATTTGATTCAGAGTTGCAGAAGGTTCAGTCCATGGTCTGTGGCTCCATGGCAGAAAGGTCGGCTGGAGGCAGAGGACAGCTGCTCACCCCATGGCAGCCAGGAAGCAGGGAGAGAAGGGAAGAACCAGGGCGAGAGATCTATCCTCCAAAGGCTCCTACTTAGGGACCCACTTCCTACAACCTGGCCCCACCTTTTAATGGCAACTTTGGCTAGGAATTCATCCACGGAGGGATACACGAATGAAAGCAGCACCCTCAGGATCCAGTCACCTTCCTCAAACTCCACTCTGAACATCAGACTCGGGGGGGGGGGGCATTTCAGATCTAAGTCAGAACAGAGTGGTTGCATGGTTCCTGACCTTTGGAGTGATCAGAATCACCTGGAGGGTTGTTAAAACACAGATTGCTGGGTCTCACCCACTGAGTTTCTTCTTTGAGGTGGGGCTGGACTGTTTGGGTTTCTGACAAGCTCCTGGGTGGTGCTGCTGAACCCCACTTGAGAAATCTCGATAGGCCTCATCTTTGAAGGTGAATGGATAACAGAACTCCTCTTCATTCAGTACCTACAGCGGGGCAGTGCCCGGAGCTTAAAGATGCGGGTGGTTAAGGAAAGAAAGCAACGAAGGCACTCAGGATGAAGGGCTGGGGGACGGCTGGAGGGGCCAGAGGCACAAGAAGAGGGGGTGGATCGGGGCTGGTTCAGGGGAGAGGAGAAGTCCAGCCCCACATGGGCCTCACCGCCACGGCAAGTGATTCTTTGAGTTGGATCGCTGAGGTGGTGACAGGCACTGTCCCGGAAACAGATGGATAGACCCTGAAGGTTTTATTGCACTTCCTTCTGTGCGGAACTGCAGAAATGGACACGTTCTTTGAACTTTCATAATCATACTCATTGTTGCTTGATGGTGTGTATGAACTGCCAGATGGGACACTCTTTCTTTCGGGTAAGAAGGTCATAAAGATAAGCTGTGACAATGAAATGGCCGCATTTCTTTCATTTTATCAATATGGTTGGGATCTAAATGGGACAGGCTTTTCCTCTTTAGAATCTTAAAACATGAGTTTTGATGTCTAAGATCATCTGCAAACATCAAGGCCGAAAAGGATGCAACTCTCTTCTCATTCCCAATTTGTTACATCCATGGGTTGCAATCATTCAGTATATGATATTGATTTTAAAAATTTCAAACTTGCCATATACATGTAGATAGTATGTGGTCATGAAATCACTGGGATTCTTCCTCTATATATGGTCATTAGCAAAAGAATGCTATTTTATTTTCCAAGTGCTGGGGATCGAACCCAGGACCTTGTCCATGCTAACAAGAACTCTACCACCGAGCTACACCCTGAGCCTCCCAAGTCTGTTTTAAAAGACTGCTCAAAAAGATCATTTCAGTGAAGTCAGACAGAATGGGAATTGCAATTTCTCTTTCCACAGCATGTCAGCCATTACGAGAAATAATATTAAAATTCCCAAATACTTGTATGAGAGCAATATTCAGGAAATAATATTTTATAGTAAACATGTTGAATAAACAGCAGCATAAAATACTCAGTTTTAATATCACCTCTGGTGTGTGAAGTACAAATGCATATCTCCTCAACATAAATTAGCCTCTTTGTCATTACAATTCCAAGCTTGCTTACTTGAAATGCCCATAATAACAAATCAAACTTAAGTAATCTCGTGAGTAAGTGCATGCAGTGAAAACAAAGGAAAGATATGGCAGAGGGAGATAGCTAATTACTGCCATTATATACTTGAAGAAAATCTAAACTGGGTTAAAAACAAAGGAAACAAGGAAACAGACCGGATATAAAAATGCAGAGATATATTTTCACTTCTGTGATACAAACCATAAACATAGTTTTGTGCAAAAAAAAAAAAAAAGAATCTGAAAAATAAAGTCATCTTACAAAACATTGTCAACAAAGCAAAAGATATTTTTTCAGTCTGTGAAAAAAATACTATTTAATACAAAGGGACTGTGCCTTGCAGTATCACAGTGCTGTTAGAAAATACATTATTACAAGTGGTTCTGAAATTTAGTTTGCTTACCTCAATGATCTTAGTTATTACAAACTGTTTAAAAATAAATGTTATAGTTCTTTATAAAAAACTAACTTGAATTTATTTTTTAACCATGAGAATGTTTTTCCAGAGAAGTATTTTACTGGCTCACGGAATGCTAATTTCCCTTTAAGGGACTCCTAGAAAAACTCAGATTCACTGAAATTGTGTTTACTTAAAATAATAAATATTCTTGGAAAACAATTGATTGTCATATGATAAACAAAATTGTGGTTTGAAGCTTCATCATTAAACAGTTGCATAGCAACAAAAGGATTCAAATATTCTCCTTTTCCTAAAGTTAAGAAATATAACGTCTGAATCAGCTTATTCATGCCACAAAAATATGTCTCAATTTATCACCCAGTAAATCTGAACGTAGCCAATTCTTCCGAGTTCACAGTACCTATAAGTTCATGTTTGTTGTTTGAAGACTCAGGTTTGGGAAAGTTGCAGCACATTTTGGTAAACAGACTGCCCTGACTTTTTGGTGTTGATTGTATTCTTAAAAAATGGAAACACGAAGGTATTTCTAATTCTTTTATATTCTGCTCACAAGATATACCCAGGAAGTACTTTGCATCCTGTCTCTTTATGTCTCTTACAGCTTTAAAATAAAAATGAGACCAGGGGATGCTATTCTTAGAATAAAGGAGTTATTTTTTTAACAAGAGAGAAATCAAATATAAAATTCCTTTCTATATAGAACTTGAAACCCATAAGAATTCTTGGCCAAAGATGGTGGCGGATAGATGCCAGGAGAGGCACATTTGATGCCTCCCTCTAAGAAGGCAAAAAGAATCATATTGATTGTTTACTGGCTTAAAGAATTCAAGAATTCAGTTCTCGGTAGCCTTTGAAATTAGAACCCAGGTGTAATTTGGTGGAAATACAGTAATGTTTGGCAAAATAGGGTACCCTGTCTTTGGATTCCAACTACCTATGAGTAAATCGTGATGATTCTTGGGGCCGGAATAAAATCTGTGAATATTTCTAGCATAGAATAAAAAAAAGCGAGAGACTGATGCTGGTGACTGGTGCCCTCGCCGGGCTCCCCGCTGTCTGGGGCGGTGGACAGTACCACCTGACACCCGAGTGCTGGTCATCACAGCTGCACATCTGTTCTCATCTGCAGCTGCGGTGCTATCTCTCAATGTTACTGCTCCTGGGAAGCACCGTGGATCCGTCCCCCATGGGGACCCTTGTTTCTGTCCCAGGGTGCCTATCTAGGCTGAGGGACCGTTTCTCCTGAAGGCGCCTCCTTTGCTGCTTCATGAGTAGCTCAGCAATGTGAACAGTCCATCAGCAATCAATTCCGCATCCCCTCCAGCCGTGTTTGGGTCCTGGGCCCTGTGTCATTCACGGGCTTATGTAAACGCATAGTGACAAGGGACAGTGTGGGAAAGCCTTCATGATCAGCAGAGGAGGTCTCCAAAGAGGCAAACACTGAGCCCCCAAGGAGCCCCCAAGAAGCCCCGCTACGGAGGAGGCTCAGGTGCATGGGACACTTGCGCTATGGCTCATTTCCACCCCAGATTTCAACCTTGGTTTACTGTTTCCTCATTGCTTCTGAACTTGGCTTCCATACAACATGCAGAGTCCACACTGGATCAGTACCATTCCCGAACATTTGTCCTGAAGAAGGGACAACAGGTAGACAATGCCACGGTCTATACATTTCAGGGAGAGGGCAGACATGGCAAGGCATAGACACACAGTGCCGGCGACTTGCTTGTTTGATTTGAGCTTGCTCACAAGTGTCTTCCTCTTTGCTGGTCTGAGGTTTCCAGTACTCGAAACCACATGTCGCAACCCCATGCCCTGTCGCACACCCCAGGGGGCGCCGATCCCAGGAGGCGTTTTCCTGGCGAGTGCCTGTCCTGCTCGGTAAGACACAGCTAGACTTCACAGAAGGTACTTGTTGCAATGTCTGCTAAATGAGAACCTTAATAAAAACATTTGAATATAAATCTTTTCTACGGCTTCCTAGTTTGTCCTGCGTACCACATTTACAAAGTTAGAACCCTTTACAGTTCTGCGGAAATCATAGACTCGCTGTGCCCGTGCATGTTGGTGTCTCCCAGCAGAGACGGTTGCTTGGAGTCTATTTTATAGGGTTTTTGAGATTTGTTGCCGAAAACTGTGATGCCCATCCCACCGGGATGGCTGGGGATGGACATGTGCGGCAGCAGAGGGATGTTGGCTTCCTGATTGGATCCCGAGGAGGGCAGGCTGGTCACGTGGCCGGTGCTGGTGGAGCCGCTGGCACTGCTGGGGGACCGGCTCTTGGGAGGGGGGCAGTGCTGGATCACCCTGGGGGGCCCTGTTGGCTGGTAGTGGGCAGCCGGAAAGGCTGCGTATCCAGGAGGTATCGGGTACCCGTTGATGGGGATGAAGTGCTGGTTCTGAGGTATTGGAGGGCCGAGGAAGCCAGCGATCTGGCCCTGCGGGATGCCCTGGCCAGGGAACATGTAATTGGGAAATCGGGGGTTGCTGAGATTGCTCACAGGGCTGGCGCTGAGGGAGGTTGTCTGCGTGGTGGCATTTCCCCCCGAAGGTGTGGTGGAGCTGGTGTGACTGGACAGCCCTTCCCAGGACCGGAGTCGGACATGGATATCTTTGAATCTCGGTCTCCGGGAGGGAATCTCATTCCAGCACTCAGTCATGAGGCTGTACATCCTGGGCGGGCAGTCCTCCGAGCATGGCAAGAGCTGCCCTTTGCGCACCATCTCGATCACTTCCTGGTTGCTGAACCCATAGTAGGGTTGGAGTCCAAAGCTGAAGATCTCCCACAAGACAACTCCGAAGGACCAGATATCGGAATCAGAAGAGAATTTGCCATACATGATGGCCTCGGGGGGCATCCAGCGAATGGGCAGCAAAGACTTACTCTGCACCCGGTAGTAATCAGCGGAGTAAATCTCTCTGGAGAGCCCAAGGTCCGAGATCTTGACGTGCAGCTGCTCCCCGATGAGGATGTTGCGGGCGGCGAGGTCCTTGTGCACGAAGAAGTGGCTAGACAGGTATTCCATGCCCGCGGCAATCTGGATAGCGATGTGCAGGAAATCTCCGTGGTCCAGGCTGGACTTCACGGTACCATCCTCATCACTGCTGCAGCCGACGTCGGAGTGCGGGGACCGCATAATGAGGAACTCGTGCAGGTCGCCCTGGTTCGTGTACTCGAAGAGCATGCACACGGGCTGCTCCTGGGTGACGGCGCCCAGCAGGCACACGATGTTCGGGTGGTGCAGCTCTGCCAGCAGCGAGGCTTCCTGCTGGAATTCCGTCCACTGCTGCGGGTTGTTACAGTCCTTCAAGGTCTTGATGGCCACCAGCTGGGCGTGGTCCATGCCCGGGAGGTAGAGGTGACCCTTGTAGATCTTCCCGAGGACACACTCACCCAACTCCTCCATAAAACGCACAGCGGACAGCGGCAGCTCCTTCGCCTTGCTCTGGAGGAAAGGAAGGGAAAATGTGGGTTAAAACATCTCCTAAGTCAAGACATCTCGGCCTCTGAAAGGAGGGGGAGCCCACAGGAAAACGTTCTATAAATAGATCAAAAGCTTGGGCTGAAACTAATGGTGATGTGTTTCTTTAAATTTCCAGCAAAGTAAATCTTAACCGATCATTATAGTTTTGTTTGTCATAGCAAAAGATTAGAAATAACCTAAATGTGCCCTAGAGGAGACTGATTAAATAAATTATGGTGGAGCTAGTGACTAGCACATTTCTTACAGTCGTGAAAAAAGTGAGGACGTTTACTGTGTAGTGCCACAGAAAGTTCTTCAATCCTATTGCTCCATTAAAGACAAAAAGTGGGCTGGGGATTTAGCTCAGCGGCAAAAGCGCCTGCCTGGCAAGCGCAAGGTCGTGAGTTCGGTTCCCGGTACCGGAGGAAAAAAAAAAAAAAGACAAAAAGCAAAGGAATGGTTCGTGCCGGCAGCTACCGTTCTGAAAAGGAGACAAATAGTGAGTACATTTCTATTTCTTTCTATGAAGAGTGCAGGAGAGGATCCTCGGGGGAGGGAGGCCGTGTTTACTGAGTATGGGATTTTCACCTCACGCTCTTTTTTAGACTTCAAAATTTCTGAACCAGGGAAATGATCTCTCAATTAAAAAAACTGAATAATTAAATATAAAAGCATCTGGCCAGTCTACTCATCTGACTAACCAGAAATTTCTTTTTCAGCAACTGTGGGCCTATCCAGTAGTCTTCCTTTGCTTACCGGGTCTGGGCCTGCTTCTCCCCTTCCTGCTGGGGGTGGAACCCAAGGCCTCCTGCATGCTGAGGAAGTGCTCTGACGCTGGGCTCCGCCCCAGGCCTGGGGTGCGCACAGGAAAGGGGAATGAGAAAGGTTATCAAGTAAACAGTCTTGCCTGCTTCTCTTGCAGCACTCAGATGGTTACCTTTACTGGCAAGAGTAACCCAAGGTGACTTTTTCCCCTTGCATGAAGATAAGGGCTGTTATAGTTAGATCTAGATGTCCCCCCAAACCATGGCTTCCTAGGTGGGGCCTGTGGGAGGTGGCTGGGTCGTGGGAGCTGACAGCTGACTTGCTGTGAGGAGCCGGGGCCTGGCTGAAAGGGGTGGGTCACTGTGGGCTGCCCTGGAAGGGTTCACCTCCCCACTCCTCCTTTCTGTCCACACTTCCTGTCTGCCATGTGGTGAGCTGCTCTCCCCGGCCAGGCCATGGAGCCAGCTGGCTGAAACTTGACACAAAATAGACCTCTCCTCTTTTAAGTTGCGGGTGTTGCGTAGTTTGTTCCAGCAGCCAGAAAGAGAGTAGACAAGCGATTTCAGTCATAATGTTTGCTAAGGGTGCAGGTGAGCCCATTGATGTAGTCATCATTTGGACAGGATGGTGGGCGTTACTTTCTGACTTGAACAGAATCCCTAGGTTTTGGATGACAGAGAGGGTAAGAGACTGGTACTAAAACTTGTTTTGGGAAAACGGGAATTAGGAAATAAACTCTTGCAATATTAGACTGACTTCATGTGGAGCTAGAAGCACCAGCCTCTTCTCCCCCATTGCTTGAGATTAACCTACGCACAGTACAGTGTAATTCAAACCAAGTGAGCTTTGAACTCACACAAATCTGGGTTTGCATTTTTGGACTGCTGTTTCCTGTTAGTAATAGTTCATACTCCACAGCACCATGCGCCAAGCACTTAGCAGACCTTCACTCACTAACAACCCCTTGCAGCAGGTCTTGTTCATTAGCTGCCGACCTTGGGTGACTTTCCCTGCCTATGTCCACGTCTATGCAATCCTATAATGACCGCCTCACACGGCTGTAGTAGGAAATAAATACAACGCTGTGTAAAAGTAATGTCCGCCCACCCAGAGCTCTTTAAATCATTTTTCTTATCCTTATGAGGGAAGTAGTCAAGAAAGTGGAGTAAATGCAAATGATTTATGTTGTCAGCCCTCAGTAGCTCTAGAGTCTTATATAATTCCTTGTGTTTTCAGAGATCGTGTTTAAGTGTCTTCCTTAGATAATTCCTTGTGTTTTCAGAGATCGTGTTTAAGTGTCTTCCTTAGATAATTCCTTGTGTTTTCAGAGACCGTGTTTAAGTGTCTTCCTGTCAGCCTGTCTCTGTTCCCCTGTAGTTCTCAGATGCTGCTGTTTCTGAAAAACCCTACAAAGTGAAGGAGGATTAGTGTGGAGCCTGGAGTGCGAGCAGCTGAGCGGCCTCGGCCTGCTCCTCAGAGGCTGCTGGCAGGGCGGATGGAGGTGAGGCTGCGGGAGCAGACCCGGAAGCGAGGATCCGGAGCTGCAGGCCCCGCGGTGGGGAAAGGAGGGAGGAAGGGGTGGGCGCGACACGACCCAGGCCCCGGGAGCTGGCCGCATTCCTGCCACCGAAGTAAGCAAGCTGGTTCTCTTAGGTTCCTTTCTGGAAGAAAAACTCTTTCTTTCGCTTTTGCCATTTTATAGATGGAGGAAGAGGCTAAGAAGGATGGTGGAGAATGTTCATGGTGCTAAAAAGCTGCTGTGGCATCTGCAAGACATCTGTCTCGGCCACGCAGTTTCAGAGGAGCCCACTGCAGCCTGCTGGCCAGTGCACCCGCTGGACACACATGCAGCGTTTGACGCTCAGCCCGGGCGACACCACACAGGACCAAGAGCCCCCTGTGCAGCGCCTGGTGGAACCACGACCGCACGACGTGCGAGGAGGAGGCACTGATTTCAGTGTGTCTGGTATCTCACCAACAGCCACAGGCCGCAGAGCGCTGCACAGGGCCGCAGCTCGCCTCCAGCCTGGACACAGAGGGAGGACTGGTTTTCTAGGGCTATGCAAAGCCACATTTCCCCCCAGAGCGCCTCAAAAACAAATTCAGGGGTCTGCTTTGGAAGGAAGTAGGGAAAGCCCACAGATGGCAGATTGCGCGAAAACCGCTCCTCCAAACACCTGTGTGGCAGCCGGCAGGGGAAACGCCCGGGAAAAATGACCCGTGGCTGTGTTTGGGGAAAACCGTTTACACAGTGATTCTCATTTTTTAAATGCTCAAGTTACTTGGCACAAATGAGTCTTAACTATAGAGCCATTTTCAAATTTTACATAAATCCTGAACTAGTTAAAAAATAATAAAGACCCTTAAAGAAGCAGTCAGGAGATGGTGAGGTGGCGGCAGGAAGCTCGCTGCATTGCTGAGGAACAGATGGTTTACATTACGCAACCCTTAGGCTGAACTTGTTTAGGTCTGGCATATTGTAAATTATATTTCAGTAATGAAAGTGAAATGACCTCCGCTTGACCCCGAGCGGGGTCTGTCTGGTGGAGCCAGCGGAGTGGGGAACCATGAAAGAAAATGAAGTCATAAAGTTTTGGCAGTTCAATTTGGGCTCATTTCGAGTTAAGGGGTTATAAATCTGTTTAGTTTTCGTTTGACAAGTATTTGTCACACAGGGATGTACAAAATGTAAAGAAGTGTAAAATACACAGGAGGCCCAGGGCCAAAATAAACCGAGTACAAAGGAGCGAGGGGATGAGCCGCCCGGCTCCTATCTCTCCATCACCCCTTCCATTAGCCGAATGACAAGATGGGCCCGGCTTATCCTACGCTGGAAGGCAATTAAGTACCTTAAAGCTGAACCAGGCTTTCGGTTGAAATGTTAACATCGTTACTTCTCAGAGTAAACACACATCGGCCTCACTGGGGCTTTAGAAATTATATAATTTTTGTCGGGGGAGGGGGACAGATAAAGGTTGATGTGGAAGCTGATACGCTGGGTGAAGCTGGCGGAGCCTCTTCCCTTGGAAATCTCTGGACAGCAACCGCGTCAGGATTGGACGAGGCTCGGTGCTGCCGGCCGGGGTGTGGCAGCGCAGGCAGCAGGAGCAAGCCCCGGCTGAGGTGGGCACCGGGTGCGAGTGGGTGGCCTATCTCCCACCGCTCCACTTTAGATAGGGCAGTGGGGAGCCGTTGGTCCAATTTTTAAATATGGCAGTGAATACAGATGCATAAAGAAATCCCATTTGCCCCAGCTATTCCCCTTCTAGGCATCTTCCCGAAGGAGTTAACGACATCGTCTTACAGGGATTCATGCACACCCATGTTCATAGCAGCACAACTCAAAATAGCTAAATCTCAGAAGCAGCCTCTGTGTCCATCAGCACATAAACAGATAAAGAAAATGTGGTATTTACACACCATGGAGTACTACTCTGCCATAAAGAAGGATAAAGTTCAGTCATCTGTAGGAAAATGAATGCATTTTGAGACCATGATGTCAGGTGAAATTAATCAGACACACACGCTTAGATATCACGTGGCTTCTCCTACATGAGAAACTCGAAGTATGAATAAATTACAGAGCAAAATAAAAGCTACAGAAAACAGGGAGGGAGATCTTTTATAAAATGGAGGACCAAGAGAAGGAAAGGGAGGGGAAGGGGAGGGGAAACCCACAAAGATGTGTCACACACCCGCGCCATCTCCACACGAGGGTGTGACCGTGGCACACTGCAAATGCACACTAATAGAAATGAAAACGAAAGGAAGGAGGCCAGCGCAGTGACCTCGGCTTTGACCCTCCCCACGGCAGCCACCCTCGGGTGACAAGACCTGGAGGGGTCCTCCTGGAGGGGGAGCTCGCTCCAAACTGCGATTCCCAGCTCACTTGGAGAGGAGACGAGTGGGGACTTGGTGATGGCCACAACACCTGTGAGCAGCTCCAAGCCAGCTCTGTGACCTTCACCTTGTCCTTTGGGGAGGACAGTTCTACCGTGAGTGCCCCTGGCCGCAGCCTCGAGGATGAGAAGCAGAGCCCCATGAGGGTGGAGCGTGGACGGTAGGCACGCAGGAAGGCCCGAAGGCTCCGCTCACTGTCAGCAGTGGGTATAGAGTGTCAGCCACTCAGGGATGGATCAGTTCCCACTTCGGATGACCAGGGTGACCGTGGCCTTTCACACATCTCCGAGGCAGGCCTGAGATTCTCCCTGTGGGACAGCCGGTGAGGGGGTGCTGACCTGGAGACTCCGCTGGGAAAGCCGCTGGAATACGGGGATGGCCTTCCGAACCAGACTTGGCTAGCAATCTGAGTCCTTCACCAGAAACACCAGGAACGACCACGGTGTGTCTGAAGAACCCAGCTGAGCTATCGCTATTCTAACACAGGTGGAGGAAACATTTTGCTCGAAAAGATGCTTTGAATATGCAGGTGGAAGAAAAGTGCCAGAATCAGTTAATGGGTTTAATTTAAAGCTCTGAAATATAAATCTTTAAACTGGCTTGGTGGTGCCTGCCTATAACCCCAGCTACTCAGGAGGCTGAGGCAGGAATATCACAGATTCAAGCCAGCCTGAGCAACTCAGCACTTACCAAGTGAGGACCCTGGCTCAAAATACAAAGGGGTGGGAACATTGCTCAGGGCTCCCTGGATTCGATCCCTAGTACCACACACAAAACTCTCTGTAACAGGAGTCATGCCATCAGTTTGTTCTGTTTTCTTGTAGACCCACCATTTAGAATTTACCTGAGCAGCTGGTCGCATCAGCCAGTCAACTGATCGGGTTCCTGCTCCCTACCGGAGAGTATTCGCGCAGACACCGCGGAAGCGTCCTGCGGGAGCGCAGCGCTCCCGCCCTGGTGTCTGTGACCTGAGCTGACTGATACACACCATGTGCTGTGTGCTGAGACCACCGCTCTGCCTGAGGAGTGTGCTCTGCGTGCTAATGTGTGGGCTGCACATGCTTTGCATATAGCAATGCCTGTCCTCCCCGCCACAGAGCCATGAGACGGTCCTCTGACCGACTCCAGTCTGCAGCTGGAGAACCCCCGGGATGCAACAGTCAGTGTCCCCAGCAGGTCGGGCTCAC